AAAAAAATTAGCTGGGCATGGTGGCGTGTGCCTGTAATCCCAGCTACTTGGGCGGCTGAGGCAGGGGAATTGCCTGAACCCAGGAGGCGGAGGTTGCGGTGAGCCGAGATCGCGCCCTTGCACTCCAGCCTGGGTAACAAGAGCAAAACTCCGTCTCAAAAAAAAAAAAACAAACAAACTTGCCAAACTTATGTCAAAATGAAATGAGTTGTTGGGGAAGGGAAGGCATTGAGGATATTTTCTGAAGTGTAATAGTAGTAATAAAGTTAAATATTTCATTCAATCCTTAAAACTGCTCTAGGAAAGTTAGTATCACCATATTAAAGTTGGAAAATTAGGTCTAAAAGAGCTAAATCACTGGGTCCAAATCACTTATTACTAGTAAATAATGGCAGAGCTGGGATTCAAAGTCAGATTGACAAACTCCAACTCCTATACAGTTAGCCACTATGCTATGTCAAAGACTGCCTGAAAAACTTTCACAGTGATGATAATTTGGGGGAAAGAGACACTTCAGAACATATTTGGATCTTTCTATCTTGAAAAGGAAATTTCTTGTGTAGTTTTAAGTGGCCACACTTGATTATATCAAACAATTTAAAAATATTTCATTGATAATGAAACGTGCAAGTGAAGATTATGATTTCTTGAAGTTTCTCCTTAAAAGCTGAGAGGAGGAAGTCCCTGTTATGTAACATTGTCCAGCACTCCCACGGAAATGAGAAGGCAACCCTCAGAGAAAATGTAAGTGGATGGGGTGACAGAGGAAAGCATAACCTATGGATGCCCAAGGGCTATGAATTAAGGAAGAAATCTTTATGGCTTTCCCATTTTTGTAATGTTCCAGAATGTTCCATTGTCAACGTTAACAGTCAAGGTCAGTTCTTGTCCAGGGCAGAGAATATGATAAAATGTCATCTGCAATCATTGGAATGGAATTTTCAGCAGGTGAGCAAAGGCAATCAGTGTGACCACAGCCTAAAGTTCCATATTGGACACTTTTTTACCTGGTCTTGCATTCTCATTGCATTTCATGTATCTAAATCTCCCCCTCTCCCACACTTCCCCAAAGAAGAAAAGAGATAATTAACAAAGTTAATAAATTCTGATCAGTTACCAAAAAAAAAAAAAAAGTCCAGTAGTATAAAACCAGCGAACCATGATACAGTTTCTTGTAAGTGCAGCAGTCAAATGTTGGAGCATTTCCCCCAATCTCTCTGTTGTAGAAACTATTCAGAGAACTGCCTCCTGGCTCCCAATGATCACAGCTAATGGGGTAAGTAGCAGATATAAGCTGAGCCTTACCTTTGCCCAATCACATTGTCTCTCTGCAAATTTAGGGCTCATAATATTTAAAAAATAATTTTAATGTTTTAAAAATTTGAAAAAAATCTTAAATTTTCAGAAAAGTTTTTTTTCTTTTCTTTCCTTCTTTCATTCTTTTTTTTTTGAGACAAGGTCTTGCTCTGTACTCCAAGCTGCAGTTCAGGAGTACAGTGGTGTGATTGCGGCACTGCAGTGTCCACCTCCTGGGCTCAAGCCATCCTCCTATCTCAGCCATCTTAGTAGTTGTAACTACAGGTGCAAGCCCAGCTAATTAAAAAAAATTTATCTATAGAAACAGGGTCTCACTGTTTTTGCCCAGGCTGGTCTCAAACTCCTGGGCTCAAGTGATCCTCCTACCTTGGGCTCCCAAAATGCACCCAGCCAAATGCATTATTATTTCTAAACCATGTGAGAGTAAGTTACCAACATAATGACCCAAGTCTCTTGGGGTTAGTGTTTGTTTTCTTCAGAAAAAGACATTCTCCTATACAATCAAAATGCAGTCAGCAAAATCAGGAAATTAACACGAATACATCACTACCAGTTAATCCTCAGGCCTCATTTAAGTTCTACCACTTAAGTTCTGTCCCAATAATGTCCTTTATGGTACAAGGGTCCAGTTCACAATCATTCATTATGTGTCTCTTCATTAGGGATTAGACAATTCAAAGAATTTTGAAAGTAAATGATACACAGTAAAACAAAGTCATATAAACAGATACTCAGGGAAAAGTCAGTCTTCCCTCTTGCGTGATGCCCAGAGGCAATCCCTCTTACCAGTGTCTCATGCATACCTCTAGACCATCTATCATACACAAGCATAGTTGTGTACATTGTTTTTTGTTTGTTTGTTTGAGACCGAGTTTTGAGCTCTTGTTGCCCAGGCTGGCGTACAATGGCACCATCTCGGCTCACCACAACCTTCACCTCCCTGGTTCAAGTGATTCTCCTGCCTCAGCCTCTCAAGTAGCTGGGATTACAGGCATAGGCCACCACGCCCGGCTAAGTTCAGGGAACTTAGCCGGCTAAGCCTCTCTTAGTTCAGGGAAAAATAAGATCAGATCTAGGAGTTAGTTCTTCCTGTAAGAATGTTGAATATTTATTAAGAACTTTATTGTCATTAAGACAAAGGTTAAAGAGTTTCCGAGTGAATATATATATATATATCTATCTACCCACATTTATAACACAAAAGTCACCATTCACTTGGAGAAGATAAAAATTCTTTCATTGTCATACATCTGACGTTTTACTTCTCTCTTTGTGGACATTAAGGATTGTCATTTAGTTGTTTCAAATGCTTGGAACATCTTCCAGATTATTACCTAAGTTATAAAATAATAGTGTAAACATTGTCTTTAAAATTGTGTTGACATATAATATTCACAAGTAAACTTACTAAGCAGTTCTTAATGTTGCATTATATACAGTAATGTAAGCTTATTTATATAATAATATGTTTTTATCTTAATGACATCAAGGCGAAAAATTCAAACTTCATTACTGAATCTTAACTATAAGGCACAAACTCTTTATATATTTATTTATTTTTGAGACAGGGTCTTGCTGTCACCCAGGCTGGAGTGCAGTGGTGCAATCACGGCTCACTGCAGCCTTGACCTCCTGGGCTCAAGTGTCTCCCACCTCAGCCTCTCAAGTAGCTGGGGTAACAGGTGTGCATCACCATGCCCAGCTAATTTTTAATTTTGTAGCAGTGGAGCCTTGCCATGTTGCCCAGGCTGGTCTCAGCTCTTAGGTTCAAGCAATCCTCTTGCCTCAGCCTCCCAAAGTGCTGGAATACAAACAAGAGCTACCACATCCAGCTATTTCTTTAATAACATGGAAAAGAGACCTATAACTTAAAATGTGAAATTCTGATGTGGTCATCTTATTCCACTTGCCCAATGGGCTAAGGAGAGAGACGTGTTGGTAGCAATATTAGTAAATATGAATATGAACACAGAAAACAGAGATGAGGGGAGGAATGTTTCTGAGGACATGCTAGTTTCTGCTCCTGGTCCCTTCCTGAGCACTGATTGCTTTCTTGCCTTTGCAGTCTGTGCTATAAGTCACCACAGGATCCTTCTAATAAATATCCATGCTCACGTCTTTTAAAATTTTGCTTAAGCTAGTTTGAGTTGGTTTCTGTTATGTGCAACATTCCTAAGAATATGGATAGGGAAGTGGAGGATCCCTTGAGTCCAAAGAAATCTGAAGAAACACAATTCCCATGTGGTTTGGTTTTTCTTTCTTTGAGATGGAGTATCACTCTGTTGCCCAGGCTGCAATTCAGTAGCACTATCTCGGCTCACGGCAACCTCCATCTCCCAGGATCAAGCGAGTCTCCTGTCTCAGCCTCCAGAGTAGCTGGGATTAGAGGTGCCCACCGCCATGCCCTGCTAATCTTTGTATTTTTAGTAGAGATGGGGTTTCACTATGTTGGCCAGGCTGGTCTGGAACTCCTGACCTCAGGTCGTCTGCCCACCTCAGCCTCCCAAAGTGCTGGGATTACAGGCGTGAGCCACTGTGCCTGGCTCCAACATGGTTTCTGATACTGCTTGAGCTCTCCAGAAGAACTGAAAGACTGTGACGGATCTACAAGTCTAAATTATGGATCCAAATGGAGGAAAATATGTAAATCAAATAATTGTTTTCAGAGATTTTTTGTAGTTGAAAATAACATGTTGCTGGAGTTAACCTGTTCAATCTTTTAGAGTTGTTCCACTTCTAAAATGTCTTTCCTTTTAGTTTAGTTCAATAATTTTTCCAAAAAAATTCAATTTTATTGACCACTTCCTGGTCAATAAATAAACTTTTCCTGCTCATCAAATAAACTTTTTGAAGTATGATTGAGTACATTATTTCTTACTAATTCAAGAGAAAAGACACTGCTAATTAATTTCGGATTTTAGTAAAAAGACATTTCAAAAATGTAACACTGCCACACTGGGGATAAAATTTCAACATGAGTTTTAGTGGGGACAAATCAAACCATAGCTGCTCAAGACAAAATCCATGTGTAGTGATTAAGGATAATGACTCAATTTTAATTTTTAAAACTTCATGAAAACAGCTCATAACCCCAAGGCAGGAATTTCTCACGACTTGTTCTAACAATATAATTTGTTAGTGTATTTGTTTTGGCACTCTCAGATAGCATGGAGTTTTGATCTCCACATTTTGGTCAAACTTCGGTAATGTAGACCCACACTTAAGGCTGGGCACAGACCCTCACTTGCACTTTTTCATTTTCCCCTGTGCCTGATTCTGGTTTGCTCCTGGCAACTGCTCCTTAATAAACTCTTAGAAGGTGATCATGTGAACCCAGAGATGCTGAAAATTGTTTATAACTCTTGTGCCAGTAGTACTTACAGAACAAAGGGTCCCAGTTGCCTTCTAAGGGGGTTTGTCTCACTTCTCTTGACTCATATCCACATCCAGAAAGCTGGGAACCTTACAGTGTTGAGCATTCTATTCCAGGAAAGTCAAGTTGCAAGCACTCTGACTACAATGCAGTATAAAGTTTGTTTAACAGTATGGAGAAATGACCTGCAATGGTCTCAAAATAAGGCAAGATAACCCACAAAGACAATAGCCAAAGGCCACCATATGTCTTTGTTTTAGTTAGGATACAGATAAGACAATAAGTAACAGAGACCTGAGAAAACAGGGGCTTAAACAAGATAGGATTTAATTTTTCTATCACATAGAACTTTTGGAAAAGCCCATGGATGAAATGGTGGATATGCTCTACAAAATTCTCAGTAATCTTGGCTTCTTCTAGCTTCCTAGATCATAGAGTGTGACTTTCATCTTCAGGACCTAAGATGGCTGCTAAAGCCTTAGCTTTTACATTTGCATTACAGGCAGTAGAACAAAAGGACAGAAGAAGGCAAGAGGCAAAATTTACTAGTCCATTGACTTCAAAGGAAGATCCCTAGAAGCTATCATTTGCATCTACACCAGGATACAAAGAATGAGTAAAATAATCTTTATTATGGAAAGCCCTATGCTCAACTGACAGGTCCTGTTACTGTGGAAGACACAGAGAACAAATACTGGGGAACAACCACTGTTCTCATTTACTGTCACTTCAAGTTCCTTGGAGAGGATGCATAACCTTTCTCCTGGTCTGACTTGCTCAGTGATCCTATGTACTATGGCCCAGCTGCTGGTAAAGCACTTTTTCTGCTGATCCAGCGTGTTCTGTTTGCAAAGAATAAAGATTTACTCGGGTAAGCTCAAATAACAGGACATTTACTATAATGTAATACACTAGAAAGGGGTAGATGTTCATCAAATGGCCAGTGAAGCAGATCTGATTTTTCCAATATGACTACAAAACATTTCCAGACATCCATTTTGGAAGTTTGCCACTCCCCCAGAAAGGGGTGTATTTCCTCCCCTGGGAAGACCTTTTTGATTGCCTTCACTGATAAAGTACGAATGGCAGAAGTGATACTCTGTGTCTACAGAGGCAAGGTCATAAAAAGTAATAGTTTTGCCTGGGCACAGTGGCTCACACCTGTAATCCCAGCACTTTGGGAGGCCAAGGTGGGCGGATCATTTGAGGTCAGGAGTTCCAGGCCAGCCTGGCCAACATGCTGAAATCCTGTCTCTACTAAAAATACAGAAATTAGCCGGGCGTGGTGGCAGGCCCCTGTAATCCCAGCTACTAGGGAGTCTGAGGCACATAAATTGCTCAAACCTGGGAGGCGAAGGTTGCATGAGCTGAGGCTGCACCACTCCACTCCACTGGGCAACAAGAGCAAAACTCCATCTCAAAAAAACGTAATAAGCTTCCATCACTTTTGGAACTGAGCCACTATTCTCCCAGCTGCCAGCCAGCACTAACTTGTAACCCATGTGATGGAGCCACCTTGGTGGCAAATCTCCAGGCTTCAGAGAAGCCACCTCAGCTGATGCCATGTGGGGAACACGTGAGCCTTCCCCTATAGCCCTTTGCAAATCAAAGATTCTTGAGAAAATATATTATTGTGTTTGTTTTAAGCTTTCAAGTTTGGGGGCTACAAAAATGAATAACTGCACTTTAGGTTCCGAGGTACATGTGCAGAACATGCAGGATTGTTGCATAGGTACATACATGGTAATGTGGTTTGCTGCCTCCATCCCCTCATCACCTATATCTGGCATTTTTCCCCAACCTCCCTACCCACCACTGTCCCTCCCCTAGTCCCCCACAACAGACCGCAGTGTGTGATACTTCCCTCCCAGTGTCCATGTGTTCTCATTGTTCAACACCTTCCTATGAGTGAGAACATGTGGTGTTTGATTTTCTGTTTTTGTGTCAGTTTGCTGAGAATAATGCTTTCCAGATTCATCCATGTCCCTACAAAGGACATGAACTCATTATTTTTATGGCTGCATAGTATTCCATGATGTATATGTGTGACATTTTCCTTGTCCAGTCTATCATCGATGGGCATTTGGGTTGGTTTCAGGTCTTTGTTTTTGTAAACAGTGCCACAGTTTACAAAAAACTGTGCATGTGTCTTTATAATAGAACAATTTATAATCCTTTGTATATATACCCAGTAATGGGATTGCTGGGTCAAATGGAATTTCTATTTTTAGGTCCTTGAGAAATCACCACCCTGTCGTCCCCAATGGTTGAACTAATTTACACTCCCACCAACAGTGTAAAAATGTTCCTATTTCTCCACATCCTCTGCAGCATCTGTTGTCTGTAGATTTTTTTTGTCTGTAGATTTTTTAATGCTCACCATTCTAATTGGCATGAGATGGTATCTCAATGTGGTTTTGAATTGCATTTCTCTAATGACCAGTGATGATGAGCATTTTTTCATGTTTGTTGGCATTATATATGTCTTCTTTTGAAAAGTGTTTGTTCATTTCCTTTGCCCATTTTTGAATGGGTTTTTTTCTTGTAAATCTGTTTTAGTTCTTTGTAGATTCTGGATATTAGCCCTTTGTTAGATGGGCAGATTCCAAAATTTTTTTCCCATTCTATTGGTTGCCGATTCACTCTAATGATTGTTTCTTTTGCTGTGTGGAAGCTCTGGAGTTTAATTAGGTCCCATTTGTCTATTTTGGCTTTTGTTGTTTTAGTCATGAAGTCCCTGCTATGCCTATGTCCTGAATGGTTTTGCCTAGGTTTTCTTCTAGGGTTTTTATCGTGCTAGGTCTTATGTTTAAGTCTTTAATCCATCTGGAGTTAATTTTAGTGTAAGGTGTCAGGAAGGGGTCCAGTTTCTGCTGTCTGCACACTGCTAGCCAGTTTTCCTAACACCATTTATTAAATAGGGAATCCTTTCCCCATTGCTTTTTTCAGGTTTGTCAAAGATCAGATGGTTGTAGATGTCTGGTGTTCCCTCCAAGGCCTCTGTTCTGTTCCATTGGTCTATATGTCTGTTTTGGTATCAGTACCATGCTGTTTTGATTATTGTAGCCTTGTAGGATAGTGTGACTCAGGTAGCATGATGCTTCTAGCTTTGTTCTTTTTGCTTAAGATTGTCCTGGAGATGTGGGTTCTCTTTTGGTTCCATATGAAGTTTAAGGTGGCTTTTTCCAGTTCTGTGAAGGGGGGGTCATAGGTAGCTTGATGGGGATAGCCTTGAATCTATAAATTACTCTGGGCAGTCTGGCCATTTTCACAATATTGATTCTTCCTAACCATGAGTATGGACAGTTTTTCCATCTGTTTGTGTCCTCTCTTATTTCCTTGAACAGTGGTTTGTAGTTCTCCTTCAAGAGGTCCTTTATATCATTTGTTAGTTGTATTCCTAGGTATTTTATTTTCTTTGTAGCAATTGTGAATGGGAGTTTGCTCTTGATTTGGCTCTCTTTAAGTCTGTTATTGGTGTATAGGAATGCTTGTGATTTCTACACACTGATTTTGTATCCTGAGACTTTGCTGAAGTTGCTTATCAGTTTCAGATTTTGGGCTGAGAAAATGGGGTCTTCTAAATATACAATCATGTCATCTGCAAATAAGACAATTTGACTTCTTTTCCTAATTGAATATCTTTTATTTCTTTTTCTTGACTGATTGCTCTGGCTAGAACTTACAATACTATATTGAATAGGAGTGGTGAGAGAGGGCATCCTTGTCTAGTGCCAGATTTCAAAGGGAATGCTTCCAGTTTTTGCCCATTCAGTATTACATTGGCTGTGGATTTGTCATAAATGGTTTTTATTATTTTGAGATATGCTCCATCGATACCTACTTTATTGAGAGTTTTTAGCATAAAGGTTGTTGAATTTTGTTGAAGGCCTTCTCTGCATCTATTGAGATAATCGTGGTTTTTGTCTTTGGTTCTGTTTATGTGGTGGATTATGTTTACAGACTTGCATATGTTGAACCAGCCTTGCATCCCTGGGATGAAGCCTACTTGATTATGATGGATAAGCTTTTTGATGTGCTGTTTGATTCCGTTTGCCAGTATTTTATTGAAGATTTTTGCATCTATGTTCATCATGGATATTGGCCTGAAGTTTTCTTTTTTCGTTGAGTCTCTGCTGGATTTTGGTATCAGGATGATGTTGGTTTCATAAAATGATTTGGGAAGGATTCTCTCCTTTTGTATTGTTTGATAGTTTCAGAAGGAATGGAACCAGCTCCTCTTGGTACGTCTGGTACAATTTGGCTGTGAACCCATCTGGACCCGGGCTTTTTTTGGTTGGTAGGCTATTGATTGCTGCTTCTACTTCAGCCCTTGTTATTGGTCTATTCAGGGCTTGAACTTCCTCCTGGTTTAGTCTTGGTAGAGTACAAGTGTCTAGGAATTTATCCACTCCTTCCTAGTTTACTGGTTTATGTGAATAAGGAGCTGTTTGTGGTAATCTCTGATGGTAGTCTGTATTTCTGTGCGATCAGTGGTGATATCCCCTTTATTGTTTTTTATTGCATCTATTTGATTCTTCTCCCTTTCTTTTTTATTAGTCTTGCTAGTGATCTATTTTGTTGATCTTTTCAAAAAACCAGTTCCTGGATTTATTGATTTTTTGAAGAATGTTTTATGTCTCTGTCTCCTTCAGTTCTGCTCTGATCTTAGTTATTTCTTGTCTTCTGCTAGTTTTTGAGATTTTTTGATCTTGCTCCTCTAGCTGTTTCAATTTTGATGATAGGGTGTTGATTTTAGATCTTTCCTCTCTTCTCTGGTGGGCATTTATTGCTCTAAATTTCCCTCTTGACACTGCTTTAAAGGTGTCCCAGAGATTCTTCATTCTGGTTGGTTTCGAAGAACATCTTTATTTCTGCCTTCATTTCATTGTTTATCCAGTCGACACTCAGAAGCAAGTTGTTCAGTTTCCAAGTAGTTGTGCAGGTTTGAGTACATTTCCTAATCCTGAGCTCTAGCCTGATTGTGCTGTAAACAGCCTTTTAAGAAGCTAGAGTAACTTTCCACTAGTTAGAACTGAACATCATAATATATAAAATTTTGTAGACTCCATAATTCAGGTCATTTGATTTAATTATGACTGTAGGAATATACAATACAAATTTGCCAACCATCCACAATTAAGAGCAACAATTATGGAGAAAAATTTTACTATGTTCAGGAAAAAGATTTTATTCATATTCTTGAAAGATAGCTTTGTTCCCAATAAATATTCCTCCTACCATTTCCATATATTGTAGGAAAAGATGTATTCAAGTCAAAAATAAGTAACATCCAGTTATTTGACTTTTTGTTTTTTTCTTGCTTGAAACTGCTCTGTTTTGGTTTTTATAGATTTAATCAACATTGACAAGGCAGGATCAATGGACTTCCTTTGTGATTCCCTTTCAATCTCACTCTCTTTTTTCTTTATTGCCTGAGTACGTTCTTGTTCTTTCTGTTCTCTTTGCCGGGCTTTTTCCTCAAGGATTTTTTCCATAGCTTTTGTTTTCTTGAAATTGGGATCTGAGGGGTCCAAATTGAACAAATGGGAAGTGTACATTGCCTGAAACCGTGCATCACTAACATTTACCTGCAAATCCAAAATAATAAATAATTAATAAATGCATTAAACAAAATTAATAAAGCAAAAGGCCAGAAATGGGGCCAAATTTAGAAAGTTGGTAAATTGATTATATAAAACACAAACCTGAGCATTTTTATTGATTCATTAGAAAACTGTTTTTCTATAGATCTTTATGGCCCATCTTTGGACCACAATGTGTAGGGCACCCTGTTCTTATCATGCAAGGACAATCTATTCCAAAGGGAATGCTAGTGGGCCACATATATATTATGGCTGGTAACTACAATGACCACTTAGAATGACTGTAGGATTGGTTTGTGAGGCAGGGCTTTCCCATGCTTATATCACAAAATAAATTTCTCGCTAGCATAAATAAGCCAATCAGAACATCTTCTGCTGGAGGCCCTGCATTCTGAGTAGGCTTTAAGAAATTTTAATCTTGGTACCAAAAATAAGGAATGATTGAAGGTGAGTCATAGATAAAAAGGTTAAAATATCACTATGACAAAGAATCCATCCAAGATCAAGGTCTGATCAGACACAAGCCCCAAATTTATCTTCTTTCTACAAAAACTTATGGTTCCACATTTAAGAGTATACCCTTAACTCCCTCCAGCCTTTGAGGGTTGCCAGGCAGGGAGTAACCAGCAAGAAAGTGAAACACAAGTCCACCTGGAGATGGACCGCAGCTCTACATAGTTATGGTGAGGACAAGAGACTCAACATCCAGGACAAGGAAAAAAAATCTCATAAAAAATATCTTTATGCATGATTATTAATGTCTGAAGGCAGAATGACTACAAATCATTCTTTGCTTTTGATAAGGAAAGTAATTCAATAAAAACCTCACTGGAATGGGAGGATATATGAAACTGACTCAAATAATGGAAGCTATAGAGTAGCTTGAATCCTTCTATACACTCCTTAGAAGCCATCTGTATATTACCCTCCATTGTTTGAACAAATACAAAATTTCCCAAATATCCCTCATCTTATTCAGGGTCAGTTCTTCCACATTAATGGTTGGAAGTCATTAAGCAGTTCCTAATAGCTGTTTGTAGATTTTCAGTAAAGGGCTCAAACTCATATTTAGGGGACTCTATAGCTATTAGGAACATGTAGTCAATAAAAAGAGGAAGGAGTAATGGAACAAAAAAACATAGAAATTCAAAAAACATGGCTTACTGCACTGGCCACTGCACAGAGTGAGAGTGTGGCCCAATGTGACATGAACCTGCTATTCAAGCATACCTTTCCTGGTCTGAGGATTATATGTGATTCTAACATTAAAAATGACACATTTTTTACATCGTGGGGGAGCCAAAAACAATGCAAAACAAGAACAAAAACAAAAAACCTACACATTTTTGGTACAATATGGCTACTAAAATGTAAGTCAACTATTTCACCTGGTGCTCAACCAAAGAAACAATAATTTCATCCACCATGGGATGAACTGGCTGTGCTGGACTAAAAAAGAATAGTTTTGGCTCCACCATCACTCTTTTTGAAGACATTTTCTTTCTTTCTTTCTTTTTTTTTTTTTTTTTGGAGACAAAGTCTTGTTCTGTCACCCAGGCTGGAGTACAGTGGCATGATCATGGCTCACTGAAGGCTTGACCTCCTGGGCTCAAGTGATCCTCCCACCTCAGCTTACTGAGTAGCTGGGATTACAGATGTATGCCATTATGCCTGGCTAATTTTTATTTTTCATAGATGATGATCCCACTATGTTGCCCAGGCTGGTATCCAAATCCTGGGTTCAAGTGATCCTCAGGCCTTTGTTTCCAGAAGTGTTGGGATTATAGACGTGAAACATCGCACCTGCCCCTAAGACTTTTCCAAGGGTAACTTTGACTATGCTCAATTTCTATCTGCACAGCTGACTTCAGATTCAATTCCATCTTTAAGAGGCTAATGACTGGTATCCATGGTTACCTCAAAGTCATCCTCTATTAATTCCTTCTTTTTCATGAGCTGCTTTTTCTTCTTTTTGCTCAGATTCTGGTGCTCTACAATCTTGTTGTAATTGAAGTGTTTCTTACCGTCCTCGGCCTCATCCATCATAAGCAAAGCCATTTCAGCCTGTGGAGAGCAAAAAACAATTCAAATGTACAGTGCTTCCCCCCACCCCCAAAAAAAGGAGTATGGGGCACAAGATACCCCTTCTAGGAAAGGAAGACATAATTGTTAAAACACTGGGGTACCACCTGTCATATGTAAACTGACTGTGGATTACCAAAACAAAGAGATCTCTGTATACTAATAAGGTAGAATCTCTGGAAGCAACATTACTGAGAGCAGGAGAGATAAAACCTTGTAGTCAAAAACCAGGCCCCTCTTCACTTAGTGTGACTCATTGGTAGGCTGCAGGAACAAGAGTCCTCAAGTACCCGCAAATAAAAAGTCCTCATTTTCACGTTGTTCTTTCTGTGCAATGACACTAAATCTAGCAAATATTTATTCTGTGATGCAAATTATACTTTCTAAATGTGTAACTTTTATCAAGCATTTTTTTTTTTTTTTTTTTGCCTTTACTTTTTCAATACTGATACATTTCTATGAAGGTAGGATCTTTGTATCTGCTACTGAAATCTAGTAACTGGCTTTTTCCACTAAATGGGTATTTTCTACCAACTATGGGATTAAACAGGAACCCTCAAGAATCAACTAAATAACCATGTACGCTAGTGACAATACAGAGTATGCGCTAGACCTTTGTAGCTCTCCCTATATTACCACTTTTGACTGCCTCAATTTCCTTTCATCACTGGCTCTTGTAGCTGCTTTCTTTTCAGAGACATTTTCCACAAAAATTGATTTTCTTTGTTGCTATTTAGACAAATTTGAGTATTGCTGTATATGCAATAAATTAAAATGCAGAGTTTAGGTGGCCAGTCAGGCACACTTCTGGACAGTGACATGAACAGCAGCCCTAGGGGCACTGCTGCCTTCAATTCCTGCCTCAGCAAATGCACATATGACCCTGTGCCAAAATTACACATGACTCTGGACATAGGCGGTCAATAAAGCATAAGGCTCACTGCATTTCTAAGAAAGAATGTAATTTTGTACATTAAATTTACATATTCACAATATGAAAACACAGAAATTTGCATCTGATAAGCCTTAACCACAAACTCTGTATTATACGACAGAGTCAGACTAAATTAAAATTTGTGGCAATATTATTTTAAGGTTTTAAGAGTATTTTCTGTCTCAGGCATAGTAAAGGTTTTTAATAATGAGATATTTTTCCTCTTAATTTATAAAGAAAAATATCTTTGAGTTTGAGATAAATTTTAACTTTGTACTAGTTGAAGAAATGTTTGGTTAAAAAAAACACTATTTAGAAACTACACTGCTAAAATATTTAATCATGTCTCTTACAATGTAGTTATAAATGCCACTGCTAAAATAAGTTATTTTTTAAATTAGCAACATGTGTACAACTTCATTTAAATTGTGTCTATCAATTATTCACTAAGCATGTAAAAATAACCGCATTTTACCTTTTGTCTTTCTATTTCAGTTTCTTCTCTGGGAGATGTGCCATCTTTTGCAGATTTTACTGATTTTTTCTTTATACCTGGCACAACAAACCAACATAAGAGGGATAAAAATTACAGGACTATCAGGAACATTCTGTTTATACTAGAAACAAAAATACAAGATATCTAGGAATAATCTTAATAAATGTGTCGAGACTAAAGGAAGAAAAAACATGTTACTGAAAGAAGACTGTGGGTATATAAACAGAATAATACAATGCTTCTGCGTGGAGTGACTGTATGTTATAAAGGAAGAATTTCTTTCAAAGTAATGTATAATTACATTAACAATTAAAAAAGAATAACCACAGATCAATTCAACAGATGCAGAATAAGCATGTCAATAAACATAAGAATGTTGATTAACATTCAACATCCATTCATAATAAAAGTAATATATACATTTAATGAAATTCTAAATGAAAATTCTGTTCAAGGAAATCTTTACGAAGATTACACAGATTCCATGTACTAGTAATATACTGCATTAACATGTGCTGAAAAGTGAAAATAACCAAAAAATTACTACACAATGTGATAAAAATAACGACACGGTATATAATAAATATAATATCAGTAGAAATAGAAAAGATTGTTTAGTAACTGCTGCTGAGCAATTTGTTTCATTCTGGAAAAAAAAATCAAGTTAAAGCCTTATCTCATAATATATAACAAATTAAAATGTAGGTGAATTTAAGAGTTAAACATCAAACAAAATAAAACAAAGAAACCCTATGAGAAAACACAAGGGAACAGCTACCGGATCTTAAATAGAAGAAATATTTTCTTAGTGTAAGAACACTGGAAGAGACAAGGAAAAAAAAAACCCAAGTGATTTGATTATATAAACTCAACACTAGACTCTCTCTGCAAAATGAAAAACTTATCTTTATAATAATAATTTGACAGTCACTACCTATAAGTTTTGAAAAACCCTTTCTCCTTCTCTCAAGACAAATCTGATCTTTAGTGAACTTTCTAGCTCTATTACCATGCAATACTACTGGCAAAGTGGTTCCTGACAGGAAAATAACATGTATTGAGATCTCTAAATGCTTGTAACTTTGGGCTTCTCTGAATACCATGACTCCTGTAAGTGGTATGACAGGGATCTGGAAGCTACGCTTAGGCGCTGTTAAAAAGCTCTCAGTTCCTATTTGAGACAGGAGACTTCTAGTCCAGGGTGACTACAGCATACTGCGTCTCCTTTCCTTGCACCCAACTGTACTGCTGAGTGAATGGCCATGAAGACTTGATGAAGAGAAATACCTGATACTGCCCTGCTATGTTTCCTGGCCTGACTACCTATGAGAGCCAAGTGTGACCCATTCAAGCCTTTTGAGCTTGAACTGCCTAGTAGAGCCTAAGAAAATCCCCTGTTGGGCACTGTACCATCCTCAGCAAGTGGTCTTTGGAACAATATGACATTCTATGCCCCTAGATGTGATGTAATATAAAAGATATAACATTGCCCATGAAGTATTCTTGCCAAAACTGTTCAACGTGAATCTAACTTCCAGTTTATGGAAAATGTAAGGGACCGAGGGGCAAGGAACAGATAAATCTAGAATATGAGACATTCCAAAAGATCATTAGCTTGGGTTCTTGAAAGGCAAATGTTATGGGAGGGGGAAATGTATATAATGTCTTCTAGACTATAATGAACTAAAGAGACTACTACTAGATATGTCTATTATATAGTAATATCTTGTATAAACATGTTTTTATATCATAAAAGTATATGCATACAAAGGCAAAATGGCAAAATGTTACCAACTGCCAAACACAGGTGCTGTTCACTGTATTATTCTCTCAATTTTTCTCAATGTATAAATTTTCATAATTAAAAACAAGAAATGGGCTGGGCATGGTGGCTCACACCTGTAATCCCAACACTTTGGGAAGGCTAAGGTGGGCGGATCACCTGAGGTCAGGAGTTTGAGACCAGCATGGCCAACATGGTGAAACTTTGTCTCTACTAGTAACAGAGCAACATTCTGTCTTGGAAAAAAAAAAAAGAAATGGTTGCTACTATAATAATAATACTAATCTTTCACTTATAAATATTTCATGTAAATGAAAATACTAACACAGAGCAAACAGAATTCACCAAGAAAAACAAATGGTCAATAAACAGAAGGAAATTATGTCACCTATCTCACAAATGTTAACTGAGTACTTATTATTTTGCAAGCACAGCTCCAGGTGCTGGTGGTTCAAGCTCTGAACAAGAGGTTAAAATCTTCTCTCACGCTGTGTATCTTCAAGTTGGGAAAGACAGAGGCATAGCAGGAAAAAAGGGTTGGAGACTGAATGGGGAGGCTGGTTTTGTTAGGGTAGTTAAGGAAGGTCTCGTCAATGATCTGGATGAAGTGAGAATACCTGAAGAAGGGTATGGCAGCAGAAGGGAATGATCAAGATGCAGCAGGAAGGCTTGTGAGGTTGAGCAGAGAAAGGTGAAAGGGGTGGAAGAAGAGATCAGAGAGGCAGGAAGTGGGCACACTTTATCCTCTCTCCCCAAACTCACACATCGGAAACTCTGATCTCAGCTAATAACCCTAGTCCCATTTTGCTGAGAAAATAGAGGCAATCAAAGTGAACTTTCAGAGGTTCCTACAATAAAAGTTTACTCTATAGTGCAGGAAATAATGATTTTGGAACTAGATAGTTGAATCCAAAATCCTACAAGCTGGCTGGCCTTAACTAGGGGGTTAACTTCTCGGTGTGTCAATGTACTCATCTGTAACATGGAGGTAATAACCATACCTACCAGAGGGCTGTTGTGAGCATCCAATAAAGTCATATTGGTAGAGTGCTCAGAACAGTGATTGACACACAGTCAGTACTGTGTGTGGATTTATTATTACCTAAACAAATGAACTATCCATGCTACAATCTAAATCAGTCCCCTGACTGGTATGATGAAACTTCTCTCCTCTTGCTGCCATGTGGACATCATTCTAGTAGTACTCCCTTTCTTCCCTGCTTCATACAATTTCCCCTCCCCTATTGGATAATTCACATCAGCATGGAAACATCATAGTACCGCTCAAAAACAACAAGATGTCTCTGCTTTTTAGGTCTCTGTACAATTCATTCACCTCACAACAGCCAGAGTGATCTTTTAAAAATTTAAATTATATGGGCCAAACATGGTGGCTCACACCAGTATTCCAGCTCCTTGGGAGGCTGAGGTAAGAGGACAGCTTGAGGTCAGGAGTTTCAGATCAGCCTGGGCAACATATACCTGCTTCTATAATAAGATTAAAAAAAAATTTTAGATTATGTGATTCCCCTTCTTAAAACAATTTAGTATATTAACAGAGACTTACAGTTAAATAAATCTAACCAATCCTTACTGAGGCCAGAATCCTATTAAGCAAAAATGTAACAGAATACATCCATGGAAAAAGATAGTGTATTTAAAAAAAGTGATCTGTAAAGGAAATTTCATTTCCCATTATTTATAATGCCAGAGAATTGTTCCCATAACAAACTTCCTCCAGAAGGTTTAGCTGGGCACTTCATGTGAGAAAGAAGCTAAGAAAGTTCACTGGAGGGCAGATGGATGTGGTCTCAGTACTGACCAGTTGGGAATGGTAAGCGCCCTAGTGATTTAGTCTTTTGTAGCAAGTTCCTGCTTCACTTGCCCATAATCAAATGCAGTCTGTTAAGGATAAGTCTCCCTCTAGGCTATCACATTCTGAGCTGCTTTACAATGTTACCGTAGAATTACAAAAAATAAAGGGAAGACCACTAGGACTCAAGATTCTGCCAGGTGCCACTGGAAAATTAGCAGATTTTTCCACTATTTCATTTCATTTTCATCTCACTAACGTATTCATCCTAGAAGCATATTATGTTTTAAAAACTCTCATTTGATACCGATTTCCTTCTAAATTGCAAACTTAGAAGGAAATAGAAGGAAAAACCATAAAAAATAGAAGAAAAAAATTATAAAAGATTGCTAACACTCACCCTGGCACTTAATCTGAGCCAAACACCAGGTCTGGCATCAATGAACTTATTTCCTCCATATTTCGAAGGTCCATAAGTTTAGCTCTATGGGATTGCCTAGAGCAAAAATGTTATAAATGTACCTAAGTCCATCTGGTTTATAATGTTTTTGTCCTGTTTAACTACAGAGCTTGAACTATACACCCAAACACTGGTGTGCCAAATTCATTATATCTTAAAGATTTCGGAAAACCAAGGTCTATATCCTTAGATAATGACTATATTTCACTTTCGAGGTACTAAAATCCAAAATTATTTTGACAAATTAATAATTAAGGCAATACTGTGGTAATAAGTTAATATACCAATGTAGATCATCTGAGTTATTTTATTTCTACATTTTAGGTCAATTGAGTTATTTCATTCCTACATTTTAAAAATTACACACTGGCTAGATACAGTGGCTCATGCCTATAATCCCAGCCTGGCCAACATGGTAAAACTTCATCTCTACTAAAAATACAAAAATTAGCTATGCGCAGTGGCACGTGCCTGCAGTCCCAGCTACTCAGAAGCTGAGGCAAGAGAATCTCTTGAACCCAGGAGGCAGAGGTTGCGGAGATTGTATCACTACACTCCAGCCTGGGTGACAGAGTGAGACTCTGTTTCGAAATGAAAAATTTTTAAAAATAAAAATAAAAATTACAAACTGGTAAGATTTGAACCAAAGTCCAAGTCTCTTTAAGAGTACCCACTATAGATCCTTATATCTGGAGGGTGTACAAAAAACTCTCCTAACTTCTTTCTGACTCCTGTATGGGAATCTATTTCCCTAAAGTTATAAGCATGTTTCTATCTATCCTTAAAACTGTCCTCCCGGATCATGAGTATAAAATGTTAACATTTAATATATTCTTCTTTGTGTCTTCTGGATACTGTTAAGCACAAATTTAGTTTTTGCTGGGGAGGAAAAGGTTCAGAATTGAGTAAGAACTTCTCATTAAATCCACCTATTTGAGCATATACATGATACATACCTAACATATTTTTAAAAGTCCAGTTATACCATAGATAGATTAAAATGTGAATTATGGGAATAATTCACATTCATTTATTTATATATTTAAGTATATAAATACTCATATATTTAAATATATAAATAATTAGTCATATATTTAAATATTTTATAACACGCTAAAAGTCATATGGGAGGACTGGGTGATTCTGCCACTCAATAATTGTTGACTGAATAGCCACAATTGTGTACATGAATAGGGGCATACAGCTTTGTAATGTGCCTTTGAAAAGCCATGTCCAGCACAATTTAAAAAGGACACACTCCTTTCGTGGCCCAGGCTGACTGTGTGGCTCAGCTGCTTCACTCTTTCTCTGTCTAGGCCCCCCACACCACAGCTCTTGCTGCATGTTCTATGGTTTTGTATCTGGCCTGGCCTTCAGATACATATGCCCCATCCTTCTCCATTTTCAGCTACCCTGACCTGTACATTCCCCTTAAATTTGACAATTCATTTAATCAACTGCCTTAGGCAGTAATCTCCCACAACCCAGCCTCTCCAATGATCTGTTTCTAGGTCCTTACCTTATCTGCTCATGCAGATTATCTGTACTTCCACAAGTGAATGAACAGTATAAATCCATAAACTAATCAGGCAAATCCCTCATCTTTCTATCACCAAATATACAAATTTACTTGCATTTGTATTTACGTTTATTACCCCCATTTTCTGTATCTTAGTAACTTCTTTTCTCTTGACGCAATCCCAAAGGGAAAAAAAAATAAGCTCTAAAAGCTTGTATCTTTAAAAAAAAAATAGCTTCTCCTTACCTACATTCAGGTACTGCTCCACGTCTCTGCTCCCCTTCACAGTGAAACCTCTGAAGAATGATCTACATTCTTGGTCTCTACTTCCTCACCTTCACCTCAAACTTTAACCCATACTAATCTACGGAAACCTCTACCACTTCACCAAGTGTCTGAGCTGCTATATTAATACTGTTCCTCCTATTTCCCAGCTGCTCTTTCTCGGCTTCTTAAGCTTTTCCCACCTTTGCAAGTAGCACTTCCTCTAGTATGACAGAGTAACAGTGCCTAATGTAGACTTCACCTGACCTCAGGTCAGACTTCACCCATCCTGTATCCTGTTCTCTTATCACTGCTCTCTACTTCCACTGCCATGGTTTGAAGTACTGTTTATATGCTACTGATCCTTAAGGCTATTATTATTTGGACTCTGATTTCTCTGCTCATCTCTCAGACTTACTTACATCTCAATATCAACCAAACACCTCCATTTGTATATCTAATTGACATCTCAAAGTGATTATGCCACACTTTGCTTTCCACTCAAACGTATTGTTCCTACATTTCTTCCTAACTCAGTAAATGGAAGAACATTCTTTTATAGACTCAAACCAAAAACAGGAGTTATGCTAAATTTCTTCCTGATTTAGCAAGCATATTTCCAAAGTACATCTAGAATTCCATTCTCTTCTCTGTCCAATTCCATGAATGGCAGCTAAATAACCATCATCTTTTGTGTAGACCTCGGCAAAAGTCTGGTCTCCCAGCCCTCACAGTCCTCAAATTGTTCTCTTTTCAGGCTCAGAGTAAAATGTTAATCTATACCAGATCACGTCTCATCTTTGCCTGAAGACTGTTTGGGTTTTCCACTGTCAGTAAAGTAAAATCCAAATTTGCTGTCAGGACAACAAAGCCCTGTGGGGGTAGTTTCCACTGTGTTTCCAGCCTGTCTTCATACCAATTCCCTCTCTAACAATGTTCCAGCCACACTGATGTCTTTCAATTCTTAACACCACACAGTGCATTGTTTCTCACCTTGGAGTCTTTCTACCCACTTCCCCATTTGCAAATGCTCTTCCCCCAGCTCTTCATGCCTGACTCCCCATTCCACAGGTCTCAGCTCTAATGTCATCATCTCAGATAAGCCTTCTTTGTCTACCCAATGTATACTCCCATATCTCCTACTTCTACCCAGTTAAATCTTCTATTTCTTTCCTTTAAAACATTTACCATACTCTTATACTATTTATCTGTCTGACATATCTTCCTTCAAACCAAACTCCACGAGGGATGCAATCTTGCTTGTATTATTATTACTGTATCTCTAGCCTAGCAGAGAGCCCAGGACCTGGTAAGCAATCAAAACAGTGATTATGGAATGAATAAACAAACATGGCAAGACACTAGCTTTCTGTCCTAAATTTTACGTAAAAAATTCTTGCCTTGCTGTTTTTCATTACCCAAACAAAACAAAGCCTACCACAAAACACAAAAATAGAGAAAACTTAAGCCCAGATAGAAACAATTACCCTTTGAGAACATTCTGAAATCAAAAGAAAATTAAAAGCAAGCAAATTTTACCTACAACTTTTTTCTTTGGAACTTCTGATAATAACTTTAGAGAAAGCGTACTCTGAATTTAAATGTGTTGCTTCCAAGAAACTGGCTATTCCAAGCCATCAAACCATTTAACTTATTCTTTGGATCCTATTCTGAGTTCTGCAATTTGACCCGATTCCACATGCCAAAGGAAACACTTTGGATAGAGAACAAGGAAACTATAATGCTTAGCATTTCTCCATTATAAAGTTGGTTTCCTGAAACCAGAGGATAAGGCTAAAATCCATCATCTTCTAGAAATCACCACTCAGGTATGATAAAAAGCAGAATATGCTAAGTTTCCACTTCTCTGTCCAATTCCCAAGAATCTTACATTCTATAATAGACTTTATTTATCTTAATCTCCCTCTCATCAATAAAATGTCAGTACTAAATAGCTGTAACAATCAGGAAATAATTTTGAGCAATTCTGACTTTCTGTTGAGAACTATTCTGGCCCATTAGTCACAAGGGGAAAAAAAAAACAGGGAAACTTCATAAAATCCTTCTCTTTACAATGCCAGCTTGGATTGCTCCAGGAACAAGCCTTTTGGGGTTCTTGTGTGTGGTATAAAGATCAGCGGAAGGCAAAATGCATGAGAACAAATGGTAAGTGCTTACAGTGATTTCTGTACGGACTTAACCAAGTATGGCCTGAACCTTACCAAACACATTAACACATACCACAGAGGAAAGAAAGAATGAGTGGTGCATATGAGATGGAAACAAGGCTCCCTGGATATAGGAAATCAGGTACCAGATAATTTAGGAATTCAGGGCAAAAGAGGAGTAAGGAAAGCTGGCTTTTTAGCTATAATTAAGCATAAAAAGTATAAAAGGGATAAAATGAAACATAGATGTTTTTGTATATTTCAGCAGAAAAAGCCTTTATATGACAATTTCATGCATACATTTAAAAAAATTATACACATATCAACATGCAAATAAAAACAAATTTGCTTCATACTTTTAATTCTTCATAGACTTTGCTGAGAGGGACCTAGAATGGATATGCTATTAAAAATCAGTGAAAGAACATAAGAAAATGATTATTCCTCTACTTCCTCTCATTCTTTTATAGAGTCACTTTGACTGGCACTAAGGATATTTCCCAGAAAGGAATCCCCAGTAAACTATTAACCACAGTATCAAAAGCCACCGATATTAAAATTATTCCCTGTATGTAGAAGGGACAAGCCGACACTTCCCAAACAGATCAATGATTGTATGCCACAGGACAGATTTGCTTGTAAGTCACTAAGGAAGCTACACAAACACTAGCAATTTTAAAAGAATGATTAGTTTATATTGCCTCCATGCATCTCACCTTTTTCTTTAGATTCCAATTGAAAACTACAGGTATGAGCTGGCTTACCTATTTTTTTAATTTCTTCAGCAAAGTATGGGTCATTCATATCAACATCAGAGGGAAGTTCCTCTTCACTGGCCTCTTCAGCAAGAGCCTTAAAGTTGAACATAAAAATAGAAAGTTGAATTATTACAAGCATTATAATATATGTACGCAAAGAAAAACTGTATGCCTTTCTTTTAAAAGAAGTAGTTCAATCTAAAAGTAAACCAGTATTTAAATGGATCAGTTTATAAAACAACTCCCACCTAAGTAATTCTGTTTGTTCAACAAATAATTATAGAGGCTGGGTGCAGTGGCTCACGCCTGTAATCCCAGCACTTTGGGAGGCCGAGGCTCACTTGAGGTCAGGAGTTTGAGACCAGCCTGGCCAACACTGTGAAACTCTGTGTCTACTAAAAATACAAAAATTAGCCAGCCGTGGTGGCAGGCAACTCTAATCTCAGCTACTCAGAAGTTAAGGCAGGAGAATCACTTGAACCTGGGAGGTGGAGGTTGCAGTGAGCCGAGATGGCGCAATGCACTCCAGCCTATCAACAGAGTGAGACTCCATCTCAAAATATATATACATAGAATGCTTAATAAATGCAGGAAACCATGTAGGCTTTTGGGGAGAAATGAAAGCTATCAGGTACATGGTTTCTGCCCTCAAAAATTTTACCATCTATTAAAGGAAATCAGACACAAAAACACATAAATAGACAAATATGTAAATAAAAATAATTCAAGATAGGAAGGGTTAGGAGAGACCAAGTGATGCAGACATTTGAAGGAGAAGATCTGAAGGAGAATACTTTTAGATGGGTGATCAGTGATGCGAGGTGGCCTCTTCTCTCATAAAATTGAAAGTGACAGTGACTGAATAGCTTGAAGTAGTACATGTGAATTATCACTTAAATTATTAATTACAACAATTTGCTGATTTAAAGAAAATAATTAATTTTTATTATGAAATTTAAAAACATACATAAAAGTAGTTTAGTTGGATCTTTGGGCTACAGAAGAAGAATCAAAAAAAGAAAAAAAGAAAACTAGTTTGGACAATGTAATGAACCCCATTCTCATCACCCAATTTCAACAATTATCTTGTTTTATCTATATTCCACCCCTAAAAACTGTTAGGCTATCTTTAAGTAAATTTGCTGGTTAAATTTTTCCTAATCTAATTTGAACAGACTCTCTACTAAATTAGCAAATTTAAATAAAGCAATCAAATCTATAAAATAAAATGGCTGTGCGAGGTTGCTCACATCTGTAATCCCAGCACTTTGGAAGGCCGAGGTGGGTGGATCACAAGGTCAGGAGATTGAGACCATCCTGGGAAACCCTGTCTCTACTAAAAAATACAAAAAATTAGCTGGGCGTGGTGGTCCCAGCTACTCAGGAACTGAGGCAGGAGAATCACTTGAACCCGGGAATCGGAGGTGGCAGTGAGCCGAGATCATGCCACTGCACTCCAGCTTGGCAACAGAGCAAGACTCTATCTCAAAACAAAAAAAAAACAACACAAAACAAATATAAACAGAATATATGTGAACTAAGATCAGGCTAACCAGAGTGGGTTTATCTCTAGAAATCTAAAACAACTCAAGTCATTTTAACACAACTATTTAGAATGCCATTATTGCTAAACATCCTGAATGCAAAAAGACCCTTACCCTAAAGAATATTTGACATTAATGTCCTTTTAAGACCAAGTGCTTCTAATAATTTTTTTAACCAAACTATTATGTGGATTCAGCTGTAAAATGCTTTTAACAAAGAATATTTGCTATGTATCTACTCACACATTTCCTTAACTGCTTTATAGATCTAAACAACAGCCAGCTCAAAACACTAGCTATCACCATACATAACATGTATTCATTTCTTCAGTAATAATTCTTCAATATCAAAATTGAAACCACTGAGGAACAAAGGGGCAAAAATATTTTTAACTTGAAGAAAATTCTTCTATCTACAAAGAACCTGTGGAGTCGGAAAGGATCTGTTGGAGTCAGGTCCAATACAGAGTACTGCAGGGTCTAGAACACCCTGGACACTCAACAACATACTTTGAATGCTGCTGATAAATGAGTCCGGACTTAAGATCAAAGCTCTCAGCCAATGAAAATCAAACAGAACAGCTGCTACAATTCTCAGAGTGGCTCCTTTATTGACCCCATAAGGACCCACTTGAGACATTTCCAATAAACCGATAGCTTAACACTTATGGAGTTATTTCATTTAGAAGATATTTTACTGCCTACTTAGTTATAAGAGAAGTTCTAGGGAAGACAAGAGTTAGGTACACATCAATGGGAGCAGGGCTCTTACTGCATGTGGTGTTATGATGTCTATTGGTTTTCATCCATGGGGTCTGGCTTGTAACTTCCACAGCCCTTACTGTAGTCTTTTGTTCGGCCCCAAGGGCAGGACTGTACTCTTCCCTCACCTTTCTGATTGTGCGTTTTAACATTTTCCTTAGAAAGGGTCCTGTCCTGTACTCTGTGGGGAAGGAATGCTGGCATCATGAAGATTCCATAAAAACCCCAAGAAAATCAAGTTCAGAAAGCTTCTGGATAGCTGGACACATGGAGGTTCTGAAAGGTGGAGCACCCAGGGAGGCATGGAAACTCCATACCCCTTCCCCCATACCTTACTCTATGCATCTCTTCATCTGTATCCTTGGTAATATTCTTTATGATAAACCAGCAAATATGTATGTTTCCCTGAGGTCTGTGGGCCACTCCAGCAAATTAATTGAAACTAAAGGGGATTGTGGAAATCCCAATTTGAAGCTAGTCAGTCAGAAGTTCTGGATGTCCAGACTTCAGACTGTTGTCTGAAAGGGCGGCGGCAGTCTTGGGGACTGAGCCCCCAACCTCTGGGATCTGACACTATCTCCAGGTAGTGTTGGAGTTGGAGGATACCCAGCTGGTGTCTACTGGTTAGCGTGTGGAGAAAACCTCCTACCCATTTGGTCACAGAAGTCTTCTTCTGTATTGTTAGTTAGTTGTATGTGAGAGCAGAGGAAAAACACAGTCTGAAAGAGCTTTTCCCAAAACACCCAATTTCTCCATTTTACTATCCATTTCCACAAATACTGACTACGATAGAAGTATAAAAATTACTCCACTGCACCATTCAGCTTTGCATATCTCTCTCTCTTTACAGCACTAAAAGTCAAAGCTGTACCAAGAGCACACAGTATAGAAATAATATAGCAGAGAACAGAAGAAAGAACACTTGTCTGAGTAACTGTGGATTTTGGTCTCAGCTTGGCCACTGGTACGCTATGTAACCTCGGACTAATCAGCTAAGGCTTTTTATAAGTATAAAACAGAGTTGGACTAGAATTAATAATTTTAAGATTCCCCAAGTTGCAAAATTTTGTGATTATCAGTGATAATGCTATAAGGCACACCACTGCCGGAACACTGCATTTCAGAGGCAAAAGACCATTTTAGAGGCAAAAGCCTAAGTGATCTGTGCTACTGCTGAGGACTCTAACTCTGAAAAATATGTTATTCCCTGAACAATGTTAGTCAAATCTTATTGTCCACAGACACCATCTTAACACAGAGGAAATACTCTTTATTTATTTGTTTATTTTTTGAGACAAAGTTTTGCCCCGTCACCCAGGCTAGAGTGTGGTGGTATGATCTGGGCTCACAGCAACCTCCGCCTCCCAGGTTCAAATCATTCTCCTGCCTCAGCCTCTTGAGTACCTGGATTACAGATGTGCACCACCACACCTAGCTAATTTTTGTATTTTTAGTAGAGACAGGGTTTCACCATGTTGGCCAGGCTGGTCTCAAACTCCTGACCTCAGGTGATCCACCTGCCTTGGCTTCCCAAAGTGCAGGGATTACAGGCATGAGTCACCGCATCCAGCCAGGAAATACTCTTGATAAAGGAATTTAATGACAATAAGGTGATAAACGAGCCATGTGATAATACTGCAAGGTGAAAAACAAAGGTTGAGAGATGCAAAGTATGGCATAATTTCACTCGTTAAAAACCTCTATGTGCATATAACCTCAAGGAACAAAGTCTGTATGTACCTCTCTTGCTCAAAAACACAGAACAGAATCATACTGCTTATATCAAGACATTAACTAAACTATGTGTTTTATGTAGGTGGCACATAAATGTCAGAATGTAGCAGTGGAAGTGGTTCTGGACTATGACCAGGCTTTGTATACCATTATGTCACCTTGCTGAAAACACTTAACTGAGTTCGCGCTTTCCTATTTCTTAAAATTGGGATGATAACAAGGCCTACTTCAGTAAGTAGTTACATTTTGAGATAATGGATGTCAAATATCTGGTTCCATCTGATACATGGTTGGTATTCAATGAACATTTGGTCGTAATTATCACTGATACCTTCTGTTTCTTTTTCAGTCTTTTTTTTTTCTTTCTTCTTCTCTAAAAATTGTTCCCAAGGGGTTAGTTTATCCTTTCCTTCCAATTTGTTCTTGACCATCTCTTCTGCACTTTCTTTAAGACCTGAGGAAAAATACAAATAGTTTAGCTTAAAATGTCTTATTGTCTGGCAATCACTTAAACATGTAATTTACAAAAACAAATATAATTCATGCATATTTAATAGAGTAACAAAGATAATATGCAATGGTAAATATCTGTATTACCCCAAAATCATACAGTGACATGGGCCTAACTTCTATAAAAGTTATTTCCTAATAACAAACAATAATAAATCTAACCAAACAAAATCAAAACAAACCAACACACAAACCTAGCAACTTGATACATGGTCAAGCCACTAAAGAAAAATATTGTATTTAGTCTCAGCCTTCATTTCTCTAAACTTTTTTGTTTTGAGCTGCTAAGAAAACTTCTGAACTAATTCTTCTCAGAATATTAATAAATTTTTATAGCAAAAGACGAGTGGTTTCTCTTATCTAACTTTATCCCCATTTGCTTCTGTCATCCCAGTGAAAGCCTATGTTCTCTGGGAACTACAGGTTTCTTATTTATTTATTTTTTTTAAGACGGGGTTTCACCATGTTGGTCAGGCTGGTCTTGAACTCCCGACCTCAGGTGATCCGGCCCCCCCGCCCCCCACTTGGCCTCCAAAGTGCTTGGATTACAGGCGTGAGCCACCACGCCCAGTCTTTTTTTTTTCTTTTTTTGGAATTACAGGTTTCAAACAAAAATTGTTAGTAAGGAATCCATGTTGAAATATCCCATGAGCAAAGGATTCTCAATCTTTTCCTAAGTACTCTGTGAGGCCACACAGTTAAGATCAAAAGGACCACCAAGTTCAGACTCTATTTCATATGGTTTAGTTCTTTCAATGCTACTATTTGCTCTTATATTTCATCTCAAAAAGTCTTTGTTCCTACAGTCTGCTGTTCCCGATTCACATTTCTAGGTGTCTTATGCAATAACTAGAGAGAAGTAAGAAGTGGGAGAAAAAGCCCTAAGACGGATCCATCAGTTTACAAAGACCCTCATTATTGCCAAAGTAAAGGAAATATAAATACCATGTTGTCCCCTTTGATAATAAAGATGTTTTTTATTTTATAGTAGTGTTTAGAGGAAACACAAATATTTAGATGAAACAAAATCCATTTAAAAAAACTGAGACATGATCAATCCAGATTATCTTCCCAGATACATTCTAAATTCTAAGAAGGTAAAAACAATCCTAAATATGTTGTAATTCTCTATCACTGATGAGTGTATAGAGACTGAGAACATTTAGTAATTTGTCTAAGAACATGGAGGTAGGAAGCTGCACAGCTAAATTTTGAATTCCTGGTCATCCTCTCTACTATTACCAGATATACCTAAAATGCTAGTTTGACCTACAGAATGAAAAAATACACAGCCCAAGAATAAAATCTAGAACTTTGGGCTTCTGTTCCTTATCTGCAAAATGAATGGTTTAGATCAGAAGTATGCAACTCTTTCCTCCCACATGCACCAATTTTCCCCCCTCAAAACATTTGGTGAAAGTCCAAATACATAAAAAAAACTAAAAGGAGTGCTTTTGGGCCTAGAGCTTCAAAGAACAGTTTGAAACAGCTAAAACAGATCTCTAAGACCTTCCTTTGTTTTTAACCCAAGACTTAGGTCCAAATTTCTATAGCTTAGAAAAGTATTAATATTAACCTATATGTACAACCAAGGTAATATAGATTTTTTAAAAATAACATAATGCTAGTTAGCAAGATTCCCCCCATCCCCCAACAAAATATTTGGTAAACATCCAAATATATAAAACAACTAAAAGCACTGCTTTTCTGCCTTGAGCTTCAAAGAACAGTTTGAAATAGAAATAGATCTTTAAGACTTTCCTTGGCTTTTAACCGAAGACTTAATCTCCAAATTTCTATAGCTTAGAAAAGTATTAATATTAACCTATATGTATACCCATGGTAACATACATTTGTTTTTATGACATACTGCTGTTAGTATCTCTAACTTACAAGATGCCAAATCAGAACAATTCTCAATTCAAAATGTTTCTTATAAGAAAAACACAATTTACTTTAGTAAACAGTTTTCAGGAGAAATATGTAATGTATAAAACCATCTTTAGATTTCTGATTCAACAGATAAACAGCACCTGAGAAATGTAAACTGGGATCTTCATTTGAGAGAAAGCAGCAAATTCTGATAAAACAAGTAGATTTCAAACAACAAAATAATTTATGTGTTATGCCTGTAGGTCAACAATCAGTGCAGTCTAAAATTTTAAATGTATAGTACTGTATTATTATATGTGACGTTTAAATAATACTCTTTGAAGTAGTCTACTATAATTTCCTCATATATTAAGATTTCATTACTTAAAAATACTAATATAGAAATTTTTCACCAAAAAAGTTATTTTTTGATTTTGATCCAAGCTCTACTTCTAAATCACCACGATGCTAAGGAGGTCCTGCATTGTTATCTCTTAGGTGATTAGAGCACTGGGTTGATATGTCTCAACCTTTTTTGGAGGCATGAGACATTGACAAAAGTTATGGGCTCTCTTCCTGGAACACTGTACTGGAAAAACTTGTATACAATGTTCAGGAGGTTTATGACTATCCAAATATCATCTCTGTGTAAGGATCCAAGAGTTTAAGGTAAAGAACATTAGTAGGAGATGAAGAGGTCTAGCTTCAGGGAAGATGAAAGACCATTCCCATAACTTCGAAGCTTATTAGCATTGACATTTGTAGGTTCTACATCAGGGTTTCTCAGTTTCAGTATTACTGTCATTTTGGACAGATAATTCTTTGTTGTGATGGGTTATCCTGTGCATTGGAAGTGATTTAGCAATATCTCTGGTTATCCACTAGATGCTAGTAGCCCCAGCTGTAACAATAAAAAAAATGTCTCCAGACACTGCCAAATATCCTCTTGGGGGGCAAAATTACCTCTAGTTAAGAATCATTGTTTTAGATAATGATTGAAAATCATTTCTTAAAAAAAAGGGGCTATGTCTTTATTTGAACCACATAAGTGAGGTTATTTTATTTGGTGCTTGATTATATAATATCTTCCCACTTATAAGTTTCATCTGAGCAGTCCTTTCTTCTAACTAGACCAAAAGCAGCTTAAGGTCACCTTCTTCAGTATTCCATAATATTTAGCATAGTGCCAGACACATAGTAAATACTTAATAAACACTTAATTGATCTGTCTTAAAGGAGGGATTCTTATTTCAAGCCAACTGTTTGATCTTTCCTATTTGGAACATATTCTCTCTAACAGAAAATGAATCAAAACTTTAGGATCTAAATAAATGGCCTTGATCCTCACGTGGTTGATGTGGTTAAAAAGAAAAAAACAAGAAAGAAAAAGACCTATAACTCTAAAATAATTCATGAAATGTTTATTCTTAGAAAATAATATTTTTCTGGTACTTTATTTACAACAATAAAGAAACAGTATGTTCAGTTTAATACAGTCTGTAATTTTTTTGCCTGGCTCTCACTTAATACACCCAAATAGTAGCATAAGAAGCACACTGCGATGAATTCACACACCACCATGATAACTTAAAAAATGCTTTGTTCTTGTTGTCATCATGAGGTCATTTAAATCTCTTGCCACAGATTACGGTTGTTTATGTTCTAAGTTCTTAAAAATATGCCTATCCCAGAAGCCTCTTGGCCCAAGCACAAGAACATTCTTCAGAGACAGTTTTAGCCTCATTTGAGAGCAGCCACGATGTGACTGAAAAACAACTTCATTATAACTGTTTTTAGTTTTGCACAAATTTGTTTAAAAAATTTTAAGTGCATATCCAAGGACTTCTAAATTAGTTAAAAATAACATCAATAATTCTACAAATAAAGGGCAAAAACCTCTTTCAAAGCTAACCACAAACACAAATGACTCAATTATGACAATAATCATTTAAGCACAATCCATTCAGAAATATTCTGGCAGTCTGCATACATATAAAAATACTTTTAAATATCCTTGCAAAACTTGCCAAAATAAGAGTATACATTCCTGCTACCAAATTCATTTGAAATATCTGAAGTCTTCAAAGGGCAGGAGATGAATAACTTAAAATAACTCCACTAGGTACTACAACTGGCTTTGGTCATAAAAACAAAATGTACATTTAAACATTTCTGATATAGGCTAAAATCAGCACTCTTTATTTAAATCTAACTGCAACACCCAATTCCAAAAGTAGCTTTTAAAATATAACTTGTCACCATCACTGCCACCACTCTGAGTATAAGGCTTTTTGAAAATTTTGAGACGTAGTTCTTGTTGCCCAGGCTGGACTGCAATAGTGAGATCTCAGCTCACTACAACTTCTACCTCCCAGGTTCAAGAAATTCTCCTGCCTCAGCCTCCCTAGTAACTGGGATTACAGACGCATGCTACCACATCCACCTAATTTTTTTTTACAGTATCATGGTCTTCTAGTCTCCAGCATTTGTCACAGTTGCAATTATATATTTATCAGTGGAATTTTATAAATTATTATTAATAGCTATTTCTCTTAATAGGTTGCAAGCTCCATGAGGGCAGAGGTCACAGCCTGTTTTTCTTCTGATGGTAACTCTAGTGGCCAAAGGTGTGACATACAGCACACATCTTATAGATGTCCGCTGAATAAAAGAGCAAATAAAAGAAAAAAATGAGTCAAATTTGTTCCCAACCTTACAGACTAAGAACAACAATGCATAAAATTAAAAAGTAAAATAACAACTAGCTTGGTGAATAATAGTAAATAGCAAAAATGACCAATCAACCAGAGTCAACAAAAATACTCTTTGGTTGCACTTAACACTATGAGAACCGTGTTATATGGAAACAACACGCATAGCCATAAAGATAATAAGGATGAGGGTACAACAGGAAGCTTAGATAGACAATTACTTCTAATGTAACCCTTAATTCTGCATCTTCCAAAACATTCAGTGAAGTACCCATAGAAAATATGCTCAAAGTACGTGACGAATGAACACGTTAACACTTTTTTTGTTGTTGATAGTCTAAAAGCTATTTAACTGGGTAGA